CGTTGGGAACGACTACACGTCGTCTGACAAACTCCAATGCCTCAAGAATATCGGCACGCGATCCAACAGAGGAGCTCAAGATCTTCCAACCCTTCCCGATAAGCCAGATGGGATTAAAATTTACTTTCGCCTCCCAAGGCAGAATGCCAACACACATCAGCGTCCCGAATGGCGCCAGCAACTCAAAGGCATCCTGGTAAGCAGCAGTTGCCGTAGCTGCGACCACTACTGCCTTTGCGCCATAGCCTCCGGTTGCTTTTCTGACTTTCTCGGCTAGAGTTCCAGGCTCGTTTACATCGATGTAGACCTCGGCTCCCTGGTCTTTACAGATTTCACCCTTCTCCGGGCCAGCATCGACGCCAATGACGCGGTAGCCCATTGCACGGGCATACGCGACGCCTAGGGCGCCTACACCTCCTCCGGCTCCCGAGATGGCGAACCACGAGCCCGGCGTAACATGGCAATTCTTAATCGCCTTGTAAGCAGTGACACCCGCACAAAGGATAGGCGCAACCTCCTCGTCAGGCACCTCGTCAAACTGGGCAGGAAGTCTCGCCAAGTACCGCAGCGGCGCAAGCGTATACTGAGCGAATGTACCGTCGTACGCTCTACCAGAGTGGAGTGTCTTTTCACAGCGCGTCTCACCCTCATTGACGAGGTCTACGCAGGCCTCGCAATTGCCGCAAGTATCGCGAGTCCAGGCGACACCCACTCGCTGTCCAACTTGGACCGATTGGTCGAGGGCCGCAATGTTAGAGCCTAGGGCGGCAATGCGACCGACTCCTTCGTGGCCGAGAATCTTCCTATCGAGGGGTCCGAAATGGCCCATGGCCATACCGAGATCGGAACCACAGAGGCCCGTCACTGATAGGCGGATAAGAACTTCATTCGGTCCTGGAACTGGCCGCGGTTCATCCCGCACCGCAAACGTAGGCTTCCCATCTGAGCCTTGAGGCGACTACAAATCGTAAGTCTCTGCAGAGTTCGATGGTGTGAAGAAGACAAGACGGGTGGAACAGTCTGAATGGTGCATGTGAGGTAGCTTACAGTCAAGACAGCAGCTCGGTGTGTCTCCATAATTTTGCTTCGTCGAATAAGATAAGAATAAGGTAAGTATACACAGGGCTGTAATTTAAAGAATGGCGTGTGAAGTTGAAGTTGAGACCAACCGAACTAGTGCTGCTCGAGGAAGATCTATGATGTAGGTCGAGATTTCCCCGCTACCTCCAAGATGGTGTGTAGTGGGATAGGACTTCAGACGGGTCGGAAACACTTTTCCGCATATCGTCGGTTCGAAGGTTCCCCTCATTCGAAATTTGACCTCGGTGTTATTCAGCCATAATGATAACTAACTATCTCAGGTATCTGTGGCCTGGTGGGTTGAGAGTTTCGTGCGACGTCATCGTGCTTCGATGCATGTATCTGTGCGGAATCAGAAAAGAAAAAACATTGACTTCAGCCGAAATTCTGCCAAAGGTCTCCACCGGAGTTAGTTTTTGGCTGTATGACTACATGTATGGAACAGTCAGTATTATGATTACTTGAGCATGCCTTAAATCTATCATAGCAGCCCTTGTTCCTGGGCCTCTTTTGGTCAAGACTCGTATGACAGGCAACGCACTTGATGAACGATTACCCTGGAAGCCTCGTGAAGCAGCGTGCTTGGATGCTTATCCCTAGTTGCGACTTTGCCGCAGAGTCCTGATTCGCTCCCCCAAAGCAAGTTCATCCGCTTGTATCCGCTGCAACTGCTCCAACGTCTGCCTCCTGTCCCTCAAGAGCCGCTCTTCATGTAGCAGGTGCTCCAGCTCAGCCATATCTGCAATAGGGGGTTCCGGCGAGGAATTGATACGATCTCCAATTATGGGCGGTGACATCCGACTTGTTGCAGATGATAGGGGCGACTTTGGGAGCGAAATCATGGACACGACCTCCGGTGATACCGTGTCCTGCTCAACTGAAGGCGTGACCTCGAGGCTTTCGTGAATTTTTGGCTCAGGCGATGCGCACGGAGTTCCGTCCAGCTCGGCCATTATCTGATTCTGTTGATTTGAAAATATTACGGGGTTTTTCTTGTCGGCTTCCAATGGTGCCGTATATGAATCCAACTCATATCTGTTGGATTTGTCCCCGCCGCCGAGCTCTGGTGTGATATTATCCTCCTTACCAACATTCTGGCTGGCCTTGTTCCTCTTTCGCCACCAAAAGAGTAGAATTACAGCCAGCATTGCCGCTAGGGCAGCTCCAGCACCAATTCCAGCCTTCACTCCCGTCGATAACCGATCCGAGGAGGAGTCACTATTGTCACCATCAATCGTAGACGTAGATTCGGCGGTAGGAGTAGATTCGGGTATAGAGGTCGTTGATTGCGTCGTTGATGTGATGGCTTGTGGTGCGGTCGAGCCAGACTCTGTCCATGATGTGGATGTCTCGATACTCACGGTTGCATACGTGCCACCGACATCGTAAGTGGCGGATTGAGTAATGGTGATGATACTGGGTTGTGTTTCTGTCAAGGTCGCTGTAGAAATCACATCCGTCTGGAAAGTATTGAGCCAGCCATTGGCGACGCAGTAGGCCGCAAAGGGGGGCCACACATCTTGAACTTAGCGTCAATACAGCGCTTCAGAGTCGAAGATAGTGAAAGACAGAGAAGCTTTCTCGTTGTGAGATCAAGAGAAGCATACCTTGGATTGTTTTTTCTTGGTACCTGCAAAATCTTTTTATGCAAGCGGCCCATTGGGCACGAAAGAGATCGCTCGTTCCAAGACGGCAAGCACAATCAGGTTTCCTCAATATGTGACAGTTTTCCGTAGGGCTTTCACCCAGACAATCCTGAGCACATGCAGGAATATCGTCTATCTCTTGAGCGTATGCGAAGCGAATTACTGCCGCGAGGACAACTGCCGTGGCCCTCATCGCGACCGAGCAGCGAGAGCCTGCTCGGGGTGTAGATAGAACGCACAGAAAACAATGGCGAAGCTGATAGCTGAACTAAAGGGTTGTTGTTGGAGGAATGGTGTCTGGGAAACCCAATGGGTCCTACTCTCGGTGATACATGTATGTGCCTCAATGACAGCCAAGCGTGGCCTGCGGCAGGAAAGCGTCACCAGAAAAGACAAGACAGCCGACGGGCCAAGAAGAATGCTCGAATCTGCAAGGTTCTCGACGAATCATGAGAAGTTTCTGCCAGATGTGATCGGGCCTTCGTTTAGCTTGTTGGTTCGGTCTAATTTGGGGCCTCGCCTGTCTGGACTCCGATCCCAATGGTTCCAACAGCTCGTTGTCCGGCTACTCACATGTACTAAGCAAGGACCCATTATTACAGGGAGAAGATCGAATCACTACGTTCAACATTGCCTGGTGCCAAGTGCAGCTTCTAGCTGCGCCCTAGTTGTGCAGAGCCCAGCGTCCTCGCCTGCGTTGGTAATGAAATTGCGCTGGGCCGAGCAGATGAAATGAAACCTCCCAAACTCAGCTGGATCAAAAGCAACTGAACTTTTCTCAATGCTTTACCTGCATGTGACCTCAGCTTAACAGCTTGCAATCCAGTTTCAGCCGGCAAAGAACATCCTAACGAGTAGTTGGTTCGAATATGTTCACTATCGCATCATTGTCAATCAGTCAGGGGGTTGCCGAAGAGTTTTTGATAGTGAGTAGCTACTTCGCGGACGAATGTGAGAGAGACTTGGCCTCTACTAACCGGAAGCCACGTCACACTACATTGCCTAGGGCAGCTTCTTCTCAGACCGCACTCCACCCCAAGTCAATTTGCATTTGATCTTCACTCAAGCGAGTTCCCATGTTCAAAATGCACCCGGAAGAGCAATGAGCCAATGAAATGCAGCGCATCTGTTATTGCTTAAGTGCACATGGACCCATAAGCTGTGATTATGTAGGCTTTCCTCTCCGAACCTCAACCAACGTTGCGTTCCTTCTCTCGATCAGCAGATTCGTAACAATAAATTCGGCCTTATTGTGGATGAGGCAACAGAGACATTAGTTAATATTCCTTATACACCGGTATCCCACAGCTCACGATCAACTTTAAAAGATCTTGCCTACGAGACAGAGTCGCTTCGAGGGCAGTCACACGAGTATTCTCGGTTTCTGGGTGATACATACTCCTTTCAATAAATCCAAGATAACAACATGCTTGGAATGTTTCAACCTCATGTACAGTCCGGCGTTGTACCACGGCTCCAAGGCGACTGGCCGCAGGCTTGTGTGAAGCATGGGAAGTAAGGGTGAGCCCCTTTTCTCCAGCAAAAAACATTGTGTCACGAGAAAACGAATTGTTCGCTGGCTATCAACGATATCATATTTGCAACGTGTTGGCACTAATACTTTGAACAAATCTTCAGTATTGTCTTCAGAGAGGCTCATTTGAATTGCGTCTTGAAACAGCGAAGCCCACCGAGGCTGCACCAGATCCAGCAACACGTAGTCAAAGAAGTCAACATTTTTTGACAGAAGTGTTTACAGAATAAGGTTCCACACCAAGACTCCGTCATGAAGTAATCTTCCATTTTGAGGCTCAGCTCTCACTTGGGTGGTGAAGTAGGTGCGTCGTTCGTTGCCGCAACAATCGTAGCCTTTTTCTGCCGCCTCTTCTTTCTGCAGCTCCTTACGCAGCAAAACACGCATGAGCAGATCAACACGAACAAAATCAGAGGACACCCAACAACTAAGAACATGAAAAGACTATCTTTTGTAAGGTCAGGACCTTTCTCCACTCTCGGCGGTTCGTAGTCATAAACTCCATCCGGGATCGTCTGACCAGTTGTCCACGTCGGCACTATCATTGGGCTCGCCAATGTCGGTAGCTTTGGCGTCAAGGTCGCCGTATCAGATGCATCCCAAGTCACGGTCCAGGGTGTATGTATCATGAGCACTTTGTCCGATTTCGCGGTTTCGGGGTAGAAAAGGGCTTCGGTCTTGGGGCGCCATGCAGCGCACGCCATTCCATTGACCCAAGTGTAGTTGAATCCACTCCACCTCTAGTCAGCGGTCAAGTCATAGATACGACAAGCAAGATTTGCAGTGATGAAGAAAATGGTGCAAGCCAACCTATTGCAGCAGTAAGCTGATGTAGGGCCTTCGTTGTATGTGTGTGCCATGCTATAATACGTCCATCCTTCAGGGCACACGCCCGGGCTAAAGTTGAGCCGGCTGTACTCTGCGACGCGGTCCCATCCAGAGGGATAGCATGATGATGAGGGAGCAGAGACAGAAACCTTCGATATGACGTCGCGGTATACTTCGCTGCCGGAGATTGAAACAAGAGACCGGTGCGACGTTTTTGTCGTAGTCCATTGGTTCGAACAGTCTGGCGGCTGCACGAAAGGCGTGGTTATGGCGAGGTTTCCAGTGGTTGTGGCCGAAACGGATTCTGCGATGGTAGAAGACATGACTATCTCGCCAGGGCGCCGAAGACGCAACTGGATTGGAACGGGTTTGGTTGGAACCGACGAAGGGATTTCGGGCCTGGAAATGTGCTTGGGCTTTGTCTCTTATACACGATCAAGCCCTTCGGAGTAATGCGCCAAGGAGGCAAAGCAAATATGAGCGAGGCCCTAATTGGCAAGAAAAGACATGGGCCTGGCCAGAGAGGGCAGGTTTGGGACTAGCGGGGCTTTGCATGTACATATTAATATCGAACTGCACTACGACCCCAACTCGACTTTTCTCAATACTACACATTTTCATGACACGCTCACTTCGCACATTTGATTATGACTTCAAAGGCGTGTCCATCTATCAAGTAGAAACTTTACTAAGTTGACCAAACTAGTGAATGTGCCCGCAAAGTGTTAAAAAGACCGTTGTGTAGCCTCAAAACCGAATAGAGTTGAAGTCCGGGTTGGGTACACTCTCTTCCAGGACTGTGCCATTGCTGAAAATTGTGCCGTTCTTCAAAACCTCGACGCGACCCGGATGAAGGCCAAGCGGCGGGTCATTAACAGTCGTCCCATTTGCATAAATGATGCCGTTGAATTGCGATACTAAGGGGCTCGGAAGCTTCCTTAAATTCTTCGGACTTGCGAGCAAAGGGGACCTTCTCGGGCTGATGGTGCAGTTCTCGCTGATTGTGTACAAGTTAAGACCGATCGCCAGAGTATACAACTCAGCACTCAACGAATCCCATCCAGGCTCATTCTTGATCACCATGCCAATGTAGTCGACCAAGAGGACGTTGGGGTAGTATTCGTACGAGATCTCATTCACGCCCTTCCAGTAGAGTGCGGGGTTGGTAGGCAGAACGGCGATTGACTGGAGGTCGTAGGTAAACGTCGATGTCAAGGGATGCGGTGTACTGAGCCACTGACCGATGTGGAAAATGCCATCTGGCCTTCCTCTCCACATCTTTATCGCCTTTTCAGCCATCTCTTTCGTATCTTCCTTTTCAGGCCACGCATCAGTCAAGTCGATATGATTGATGTTATAGATGCCCTCGCCAATTGAAGTATGCTTGCGGTCATCAGGAATCTCCTTAGACAGATGCTGGGTGTTCAAGAAGATAAGCACGCAGCCCTTGTTATCATTCTTGTCCATCAAATCGCCAATCTTCGACGTTTGCAAACTCTTGCCAAGTCCCGGGCACCGATTTTTGATCTCTTTGAGTTTGTCGAAGAACTTGTTCTTGATACCTTCATCCCAGTAGATGGGGCCATAGCTCGGCACATTGCGGACACCAAGCAGATAGCGGAACTGCAAGAAGATGACCTCGCCAGGATTCTCATCCGTGAATCGATTAATTTCCTTGATGACGTCGTCCAATTTCTCTCCCGTTCTCCCAAGTACGACTTCCGCAACCTCATCAGCCACGTGCATCGTCCAGAAGTCGTAGTTGCCGCAACAGTTGACAACCTGATGAATGCTGGAAACACGCAAGTCGAACCAGCGAGACCCGGCTCGCAGTTGATCATATAGGTTCAACATCTGAGTTTGTGTGTTGCCCTCGGTTCCTCCTGACAGGAGAGCATCTGTTATCTTACTCATGCCCGAATCGTGGGTGCCTGGCATCACCAAATCAACCACCCTCCGATCACGGATCGTATCCTTGATAGCGTTCATCCAGTTTCCCGGTCCATGTGAAAGTGAAGTGATGAACCCAAAGGAATCACTTCCCGTGATGACAAGTGTCACAGGAACCTCCTGCCCCGGCACCCTGTACTCGCGCTGGCCCTTGCCCATCCCGCTCAGGTCGAAAACGACGCGCCTGGGATAGGCATCAGGTATATGAGTTGTGGCACGTACGACAAACTTTTTGCCAGTGTTCCCGATGTCGTAGTATGCTTCTCCGTTGTCATCGACATTGTTGGCTTCAATGTCTTCAGTATAGTGTGCGACGTTCTGACGCGCCCTGCCAGGAGGAATATCGCCCCAGTTGAACTCGTCCATCTGGTAGCTATGTGTTGAAGTGAGTTTGAAAGGGTGCGGCGTGAGGTTGACGATGGTGATGTACTGTCTGCCCGTCGCTGCTGCATTCTCAGGGTCCATCAACAACCAGCGCATGTACTCGCCAGTTCGATCAAGATCGAGGTCGCTATAGGTTTTATCGCTCGCTTGGCAGGTATCATTGGGGTCGATGGGCGGTTCCGTTTCTTCGTCGTCGTTTGACTTGCAAACCTCGGGACACCAGGTACGAGAGCAGGCAAACTCGCACAGCTTCTCATCATTGTAATCCCCAACAGGTTTTCCAGTTGCACCGGGTACCTGTGCTGGTGGCTCTATCAGGCCTCCCTCTGAAGTACACCGGCAGATATGCAGAGGACAGAAGCCAAAGTTGCAGGCGTAGGAACAAAGCCCCTCGAAGCGTTCATAGCCTACTAGAGAGGTGCCTGCCCTACAGGCAGGTGGAAGAAACTCGGAGACGGTCGGTACGATAGTCGTCTGAGGAGTCTCAGAACAAAACTCTTCTGGACAGAATCCCAGGTTGCAGGCATTCGAGCAGAGTCCGGAGTAATTCTCGCTCTTCCCCTTGGCGGGGAATCCGTCTTTCTCGAGCGCTGGCGGCTTTGTGTTGGGCACTCCCACAGCCTGGCACAAGCAGGACGACACGGGGCAATAGTTGTACTTGCAATTGAACTCGCATAGCTCCCTGAAGCCCTTGGCTCCAGTTCCCTTGATGCAGCCTTGGTTCTGTCTCGAGTTTGGCATCGTCACGGAGACGGAGCCGGCAACGACGGCACTGCCAACCCACGGGTTCCAATTCGTACGCCCATTGTCGCAGCTCGCAGAGCTGAAGGCAGGTCCGTCAACCCTCGCTAGAAGTCTCCCAGGTCTGGAGAGCTGGACGTTCACATCGCCGGTCTCACTAAGGAGGACCACGCTGCCATGATAGACGCCAACACCTCCATCGGGAATCGAAGACCATGTCGGGGTAAAAGTCTTGCCACCAACTGTGACTGTGACCTCAGCTGCCGACCCGAGTACTGCGGAAAGAAATATCTTGTCCAACATGATAAGCTGTGGAGGGAATTCGATTTGAAGTTGGCTTGCTGTATTGCCGACGGTGCCACCGTCAGAGCAGGCGCTGGATGGGCTTGTACGGTACCAGACAACGAGACTCTCTTGAGATACAGTAGCTTTGCCAGTCTTGTAGTAGTCGATCCAGAACGGTAGAGTCTGACGCCAGCCATCGTGAGGTCTGTTGTTGGCATAGTTGTATGGCGCTTTCCCAACCGTGAACGCCTCCATGGCGTGGCTGTAAAGAGGACCAATGTGATGAGATTCACCATAGTCGTTCCAAGAGATGATTTGGACATATCTGGAATGTATATTAGTACAATATCATCCTTGAAACACTCTCAAGCTGGTACTTACTCAGGCTGGTTGTAAATGACCTGAATCCACCGATCATGCCATATGTCGTCACCTCGCCACATCCAGTTCTTGTTGTAACCGGGCATATTGGTGTAGAACCACGGCGAAACAGGCATCATATACGGCCTCTTGTCCAAGTATTGAAAGTACGAGGCGTCGACATAAGTGTCCATATCTCGAGGACCCCAGGGCCAAGCAGCCCAGTTGAAGAGGCCGTCCGCGACGTTGTTTCCAAGGGCCAGCGCTGGCCTTGCTCCTTCAGACGACCAGTCAGGAATGAAGAAGCAGCTGACTTGGCTTTTGATGTCGATCCAGTCTTTCGCATTGCCAGGGCCCTCGAAGGTAGAAACCAAAGGCCTTCCATCACTGTGCTTGAAGTACTCGGCTTTCGATGTGTACTTCTTCAGATAGCTGATGACGGTCTCCTTCGGCCAAGGACCTCTCCCTGCGTAGTCGAAAGAGAATAGAAGCTTGAATCCTTCGTCTTTGGCGACATTGAAAGCGCGCTCAAGAGAAACCTCGTTCATGGGCTCTCCATGGGCCATATTGAGGGCGAAGGCGTCAATATGAGCTTCTTTGGCGAGTCTAATGTCCGTACGCCAGGTACTTTCTGTGTAATCGGCCGTGTTTCCCACCTGGCAGAGTGTAAGTTGATGCCCATCGGCCAGGGAATAGCATTTCATTCTGTGAACTGACCATGAAATGTGCGAAAACTGCAGCACTCTGGACGCGGACTGCGCCAGCAACGGCTAAAAGAAGGGCGTTGAGTTTCATAACCTCAATTTACAGTGCAAAATGCCGAAAGTCTAAAAGAATGAATCTAGAAGCAAAACTTGCTGGAGAATTGCATCAGGTACGTGAAAGCCTTACTAGCATTTATATAGCAGTTTTGCTCCATATCGACGGCCAGGCTTCCCTCACCCTCTCCTATCTCTGAATGAAAAAATCTCTGAGAAAGGGGCCCAGTCGTGTCAGAGACGAACACAATTCAGAATGCTCATCTTCCGTGGGGCGTAGTGGCTCGGACGAGGGCCACCAGGCTTCGACTCAACGAAGCTGAGGCACAGCACGATTAATTTCTCGCAACACCAGCAGCTGACCCATAATGCAGTGCATCTTAGAGGCACAGTGTCGTTCTTGAGAATGTGGTAAGAAAATATTTCAAGGCCCTGTCATGGAAATATGATATCCAGAGCCATAAGGACTTTGGTTAAACTCCGGTAGCCTGCCGAGGAACGTTAGCTTAGATCGAGATATTGAACAGCTCTCAACTTGCAAATTACACTGACTGCATAACTCCAAAAGTTGATTCGCTTTTGGAGACCTGTATTGATGTAAAGTGGTGAGCTTTCTCGGCTCTCGCTGGGCATCTCATTGTCAGCCGACATCCGTTTGACCTTCTATCCGAACAGGCAGGGATCACAAGCACCGTCAATCACAGTGTAATCAATACCAAGGCTGATTTATGCTATAGCGGGCCGTCATAAGCGAAGAGGAGGCGTTTTCCTAATGCGGTATGTCTTGGCCGGATGCCGCCTGTCGATATGCCGTTGGAACGTTGGACCCTAAATGCGGAGGACTC